GACCAGTCTGATTGGTTATTTAACCAAGGTGTTAAAACAACAAAACCCAAAACCAACATTGTATGAGTAAAGACCTGGGAAACATTTGAAGATAGAGAGCATTTGACTACCTATTACTTGTGACCTGTGTTTATGGCTGTGGCTCTGCCCCTTCTTCCTAAGTTTATAGGAGCAAATTGTCTCTAGAGCGGAAAGAGAGTGCCCACCTTTTGTAGAAGGGACCATTGTAAACTTCAGAAGGGACAGATAATATTGTAATTCCAGAGCATACCTTGGGGATGCTTTATTTTCTCTGGGAAAGGTTACTGGGACGATTTGCTTCTTGTGTTTAGAATACCTATTTGATTTTTCTTGACTTGTGTTTCTCATGAGGATTGATCAGTGTTGAATTCCAGACTTAAACAGCTCCATTTGCTTGGCATTTACCTTTATAGCCTTAATATAGTTTTTTAGGCACGTGTATTGACAAAGTCTTATTTTTCGTATTTAACATTTGGTCACTTGCCCGCCTTTCCTCATTTTTAGCTGGTTTAAGATTTTCTATATTTAGGTTTAAATTAAGCAATGAATCAAATGTGATTGTTTTCTCTTCAGTTCTGCCTCTCTGAATACTGTTATAAACCTATGCCCTTTGTTGTAAAACAAGTTTTCTTTTTCTTTACAAAGTTTGAAAGTATTTGGAGTATCTTTCAGTACACTTTAAAGTTATTTGAAAAGTAACGATCAGTATTAATATTTTTTATTAATTTAGCAGAATATCTTAAATCTGTTCAAATGGAAAACATTGTCTTTGGTTGTTAAAATAATACTCAGTGGCAAGTACATTTATATATTGCTTGATTTTAGATTAGAAGCTCTGATTTGAGATTTTTTGTTGTGAGATTTTGAGAGGTTGTAGGAATATTTAAATGGGTAATTTACTGACACCTGCCTCATGTTTGAAGTATTGTCAAGGATGTTTAGTTTTCTGGTCACATCAGATTGTGGTTTATTGCAAGCTTTTCTGTAGTCTGTTGTCCAGCAGGGATTGTTGTCATCATTTCCATTATTTCTTGTAGGGCCTGTGTTAGAAACCATAAATCTAGACTGCTGTGATAATAGGAACAGGCTGTAACCTGACCCAATTCTTTTGTCAAAATGTCCCACCAAGAGCTGCCTGTAGTAAATTGACATGCCCTGCTATTAACTCCAGTCCTCGGAAAATGTCGGTGGGCAGCAGGTCTTTGGGCAATTAGCCTGTGGCTGTGCTTTAAAAACCTTAGGAATTTACAGCTATAAACGGGGATTTTTGGCAACCCTTGTCTTTCATTTATCTGTCTTCTGACATAACATAGTTCTTAACCAAATGTATAACTTTCACGTAAATTATTTTTAAGTTGCAAGTGATTATATTAACGGTATAGGATGTAACTTTTTAGGTAACTTAAAAATTCTTGAAAATAGTTGTTTTCTTCTTGGGTTTGTTTTGACACAAAAAGGTTTATCTGTTGGGATAAGCTTTAATAAAGGATAGTTAAAATTTCGAAATCTTAAATTTCCTCTAGAAGATTTGATAAAAAGAGAAGCTCATTCTTAATATTGATTAATCACAATCTAGAGATGGAATTTTATTTTTAAAGGTAATTACACTAAAACTTAGTTTTCCCTCCGATTATATTTATAGATAAATCAGAACATGGGAAATTTGATTATATCAGTTATATTAATAATATTAGATAATTATGTACTTAATGTAAATTGAGTAGGTATTTCTGAAAGTGATGAATCATGTCTAATTCAACAAGTTATCTATGGCTACACAATGGAGATATATATTTTTTCTATCTAATATTCGGATAATCACCATTACCAGAAACAAAATTTTTGTTAAGAGTCAGTTGCTTTTTGTCAAAGGAAACTACATAGCTGTAATATACTTGGAGTAAATCAATATATGTTTTTGTATTTGGGTATAAATGTGAACTACTTCTTTTTTTTTTTTTAAGATTTATTTATTCATATGGAACTGGGGTACAGCCCAGAGATGCGGAGGGTGAGAGAACCCACCAGTGACAGAGTGGGGAGCAGAACAGGCAGATGGATGAAGTACACTGCTGAGGGGAACAGTGGGTGGGTCAGGAGAGGTCTGCCACGCCATGTGGGTCACCTCTGGGGCAGGTGGGGATTGAACTCATGCAAAAATGGTTTAAGCTTCTTAGTGCTGTGCTTTAACCCGCTGCACCACCAGGGAGTGCACTTCTTGAAACCAAAGTAATAAACTACTATTCAAGTCAAAATGAAAAACTAAGGTGCTGTTTTATGCATTCAACTCAGAGCTTCCCTATTATCCTTTCTGCATATTGACTAGGCAATATTTTTGGTTATTTGTTTGATAACAAACAATAATGTATTTGGTTATTTGTTAACAATAATATTTTTGGTTATTTGTTTGATAACAATAATATATCCATGTATAGTTAATCTGCAGAGTCATGCAACAATGGGTAACATCATTTTTTTTTGATATTAGAAATATCAGGAAATATATGCACTTTCTGATAATGCTAGTTAGTAATTGTGACTCCTTTCTTTGATTATTATGGCTGGGCATTACAAATATGTATTTACTAGTGCTTAATTTAAGAGTGATAAACTTAGCATTTCTTTTTCTTTAAACAATACCCTTTTGGTCTATTAATTTGGAAGAGAATAATTAATGCTCAGGAGTCAAAGTAGGAGCATAATTTCATTTTATAGCATAATTAATGTTAAGTATTAATGTTGAACCTCATTTCAGAGATTTTTAATTAGGACAGATAGTTGGATAGGAAACCATCTTTGAGCTTGCACTTGTTCATGACACTATGCTAGGTACTCTACCTGTACTATCTCATTTCAGTTTTCAAGACTACTTTGAAATATAGGTGGGATTAACCTTAATTTATACTTAGGAAAACCAAGGCTCAGCAAGATCAAGTAACTTATAATGGCTTTAAGCACTTGAAATAATATTTTTATTTAATTGACATAGCTATCAGTAACCATCACAGTATATAATTTATTCCTTTAAGAGTATATAATTTTAAAAATTTATGTGATAGGCCAGCATTTCAATCACTTACTAATAACATAACACTTAAATAAATCTCCCCCACCCCCCATACCATAAAAATAACTTTGATAATTTAATACAGTTAATTATAATTAATTTGTAAAGAATACAAATTACACATAAAAATATAAGGAATAAGATAAAGGTCACCTAAAATCTTAACACTCAGTGATGCAAAAAAAGATCACCAGAATATTTTTCTATAACTTTATGTAGCAAGCTGGCAGATATGGTATTAGACCAGGCAGGAGCTGATGAGGCCTTAAACCAGTTAGTGGCCGGAAAAGGTAAATGAGAGTGCATATTGTCTAGTGATTGAATGTGTGAATGAAAGAAATCTCACATTCAGTTATATAGGGTTTTGAGGTCAGTTACCTAAGAGAGAAGGGTGTTAAGAGAAAAAAATATTGCCTAGTCAATATGCAACAGAACAACAATTTTTGGGAGTTGGGGATGCTTAAGTATAACTTTGTTGAATCAAGTGGAGAAGACTCTAGGTGGCTTAATGAATATATTCACCATGAGTTAGCTTTAATTAACAGATTAACCTCGGTTATACACATCATCATCTTACTGTAGGCACATAGGGAGATAGATATAATTTGGCATATTAAGCATTTTTGAGTACATACCTCTTTTAAAGAATTCACCTTGTATTTTGTTCATAATAAACTGTTGATGGGTGAGGACAGTTCATTATTTATCTTTGTTGTACAGATTGCCTAGGATATTGAAGACATGAAGGAACAGCTTAAATTAATGAATGAATTAGTGGCTCAAAATACACAGGCTTTCTTTTTGTAAAGATTTATTTATTTATGTATACAGAACTGGGATACAGGCCAGAGATGCAGAGGCAGCGAGAGGATTTACCAGGAAGAGTGGGGAGCAAGAACAGGCAGATTAATGAAGTACACTGCTGAGGGGAGCAGCAGGAGAGATCTGAGGTGCCATGTAGATCACCTCCGGGACTGGGGATTGAACTCGCACTGAAGCAACTGCTGCTAGCTTGCGCTGCTGCACCTTAACCCGTTGCGCCATCAGGGAGGGCCAAAATACACAGGCTTTCTAACAAGTAATGGTATTGTTAGAAAATTTGTCTCTTAATTTCTACAGGTTTCACCACATACCTGGGACTTCTACAAACTCCTGCCAACATGGACTTAAAAGTAGGCATGTGCAATAGGTGTCCGTCTGAATCCCAATTCTACCAACTTAACTACTTTTTTTTTATTTGACCATAAAACTAACCTTTAATAAAGCCATGCAATTCAGTGTTTTTTTTTTTTTAAGATGTATTCACTAAGCTATACAACCATCATTACTGTTTAATTCCAGAATGTTTTCATCCCTCAAAAAAAGAAATGCTGTACTACCCATTAGTTGTTACTCCCCAGCCCCTAGATCCCCAGTCCTTGGCAACTAATCTACTGAAGTTACCATTTTTATTCAAGGAAAGAAACTAAAATGGTCTAACTCTAGAACTGATAATCTAATAATACAGTCATCCAGGAATTTTTTGCTGAAAGGAGGCATTAATTAATTTTTTTCTTGTAGGAAAGAAGCCCAGAAAGACATACCATGGGGCAAACAGTGAAGGAAGGTAAGGTTTACTTGTCTAAAGGTAATATTTTAAGTTTTATTTATTTGGAATGAGTATCTCCTGGTATACTAGAAATAAAACCTTTACAAAAATAAAGTTACAAAAAATATCAAGTTCAGATGTTCAGATTAGCTTATAATTGGAATTTTGGAACTGAATAGCTACTAAAGGTAATCTTATCTTCCTTTATTAGTTTTATAAATGAGAAAACTGGTACTTAGGGAAGTGAAGTGAATGGGTCATATTATAATCTGTGACAATCAAAATCCCTAATCTGAATCATCTAACTCTAATTTCAGTGATTAAAAGATGCTTAGTCCTGTCTTTAGGGAGAAGTCAACTCACCTTCGCATGAATCTGCTATACTCATTTGTACTCTTTTTCTTTTTAAATTTACTTATGTGTTTTTACATTGTTGTTCATTTTTGTACAAGTTTGATTTCTCAGGTGTAATCCCCATGAAATTCCCACCCTCAAGACACCGGTGAACCATCTTGTGCTCTTCCCTCTCCTCCCCTGCTGAATGTCTTCGATTTATACTTTGCTAGTTGTTTTTTTTTTTTCCCTGATCCCTTGTTTGGTTCCCCTATATTCATCCTATGGGTGAAACTATCCTATATTCTTTTTCCTGCTGACTTATTTTACTGAGCATAATCCTTTCTAACTCTATTCACATTGCTGCAAATGGCATGAATTTGTCTTTTTTGATTGCTGAATAAAATTCCATTGTGTATATGGACCACATCCTGATCCACTCATCTGTTTTTGGGCATTTAGGTTGTTTCTATATCTTCTGTATTGTAATAGTGCTGCAGTAAACATAGGTGCACTCTGTTCAGCATTGTATTTTCTTTCCCATAATACATGTTCACATCTTTTGCTGTTCTGCATCCTGTTGTTCTTTCAAGCTCCAGTTTAAGTCCTGCCCTCCCAAACCAGACTTGAATCTAATAAAGCTCTTTTAGCTCTGAATACCATTAGAGAAAATACAAAGAACCGAAGAATCCATTCTACAAAGAGGCAGTCAGCAAAATCTATACTGCAACACTGACCTGGTACTATCAGCAAAAAAATTGCCAGGGAAAGGGGAAGGAAGAAAAAGAGAGAAGGAGCCTAGAGATCAAAAGAGACTTGAGAAACATATCAACCACTGCTGTATATGAACTTTATTTGGGTCCTGATTCAGACACTGAAAATAATTAGGACAGTTGACGAAATACAAACACTACTATTTGACGATATTGAGGAAAAATGTTTCTTCCACCACCATAATAATAGTGTTATGATTAATTTTTAAATGAGTCATTTTAGAAATACATACTATAATATATATAGATGAAATAATATCTTCGATTTGTTGAAATCGTAAGATTTAACACTTTGATTTTCTCAACTTGACACATAGAAAGAAGGTCCTAGTTTGTTGAATTACATTGTATTCTAATTTTCCTATTAATTGATTATTTATTTTTAAATAATTATGCACACAACAACTGGGGTACAGGCCAGAGATGCGGGGGGTGAGAGGATTCACCAGAGACAGAGTGGGGAACAGGACAGGCAGATATACACACTACTGAGGGGAGCAGCGGGCAGAGCAAAAGAGGTCTGCCATGTCATGTGTGTCAGCTCCCTGGCTGGGGATCCAATTTGTCATGCATTGGTGGTGGACAGTTTCATAGTGCTGCATTTTAACCTGCATCGCACCACTAGCAAGAGCCCCCTATTACCTTTTTAATTCTTTGATGGTATCCACTTTATTTCTATAGTACATTTATTTGAACATTGTAAGGATCAATTCAGCTCTTTATGGTTTATTGATTCATTCATTTAACAAATGCCTGAGTGTCGTTTGCGTGCAAAGCCCTGTTCTAGGCATTGAACAGAGTAGAGAAAATAAAATAAATCCCTGCTCTTTTGTAGCTTACATTTGAGTGGAGTAAGGCCTATAATAAAATAAATAAGCAAATTATAAGGTACATAGTATATTGGAAAATGAGGCCTTATGCAGAAAAAGAGGATATTAACTATAAAATTAAAACTTGTTCTTGTAATTTGCATTTATAGTTTTTCTAAGCACTCTTTCAGACTGTCACTGTCACCCTCCATCCAGTATTGCTCTCATTTTCTTTAAAAGAGTCAATGGATGCCAAGAAGGAGAATCAAGAGAAAGCAAGTCAATCAAGCACATCTTCTGTGCAGAATGGTAGGTTTTAAGTACTGCCATACACCATATTTTTTTCTTTACTCGGTGTTAATATGAACTCTTTTCTTACTGCATTTGATACAGTCTGTGTAAAACTATAAATAAAAAATCTAATCAGTAGGAAAGGTGAAAAAATAGTATTTAAAATTTTTTTGCTTCAGTTTAACAGATAAATTGGTAAGAGTAAATAAAAGATAACTACTCATTTCAGTTGCAAATTTTGCCAACTTCTGGGTATCTAGTTACTAATACCATATATTACCAACTTTAAGACCATAATTATTAAAAAAAAAAAGTTTTCTTTCAACATTAGAGTAAATGGTGACCAAAAGACAATTTGTGGTTGGTTAAGGGTGTAGGCACAAGGGGCCCTAATAGATCTGTTTTAGAATCTTGTTCTTACTCTTTATTAGTCTTGTGATCTTGAGCAAATTACTCAAAATTTTTATTCTCTTTTTTTTCTACTTGGTAGCACAGGAATACTACTACTTACATGATGGAACTATTGAAGTTAAAGATAATTAACATATAATGCCTAGACATAGAGTAAAAGTTGAGTAAATGTTAACTCATTGAGTTATTCATGTTTTAAGTCCCTTATTGTAAACAACATTTGTATGAGTAGTGCATCAGAGACTCAAGTGATAGAATCCAATCAAACCCACCTACTGTTAAGGATAATGAGAAAAGACTTATGCACACAAAAGGCTGAATAAGAAAATACTCTAGTAAACTTATTTTGTTCACCAGAGATTTTTAGGCAGAAGTCTTGCTCCTTGTCTTTTTCTTGGATCTGCCATGCCATTGTCACTCTTGAAATAGCTCACCTATAATTTTCTGTTCATACGGGAAGATTACCTGTACAGGTAGTCCCTGTGGAATCATTCTCTCACTCTTGGTGGGCTCTCAGTGCTTCCTTGGCTTTCTTTCCTATTGACTTTGTTCTTCGACTCATCTCTCTAACCCCCAAACCCTCCAAGGACATAAGGCCGTTGGAAAATGTTCTCCTTCAGACCTTCAAATTCCTCTCCGTTTTTTTTTTTTTTTTTAAATACAGCAGTTTTGCTAAATTATAACTCACATACCACACAGTCCATCCATTTAAAATACAGACAAGTCAATGTTCCTGGCGTGTTCATGGAGTTGTAACCATTACCATAATAATTTTTAGTACATTTTTATCACCCTAAAAAGAAATCCTATACCCATTTATCAGTCACTAACTATTTTCCTTCAATTCACCTCTCCCTTGCTCTGAACAACCATTTTCAGTCTCTCTAGATTTGCTTATCTGAAAATTTCATAAAAATAAATTTAAAAATATATTCTTGAATGTTGAAACTAGAAACTTTTAAAAATCCCCAGACTTTATTTTTTCATCATTCTTCATTTTGTGCATTTTCCCATCTCTGTTGTAATCACCATGGGCTTCCCACCACCAGTTCACCTGTGTGTCATCACCACAGTCCAGTGCATTCTTCCCACCCCAGTTCTGATCCCATTCCCCCTTGTACCCCCATAAAATACCTCTAGCTTATAGTTGTTCATTGTTTTCATATTTACTTTATTACAGTTGTTTGTATCTCATTTTTTCCACCTTGTTCCCTTACACTCTTGCTGTGAGTGAAACTATCTTGTATTTTTCATTTTCTTTCTGGCTTATTTCACTAAGCATGATCCCTTCCAGCTCCATCCATGTTGCTGCAAAAGGCATGGCCTTATCTTTTTTGATTGCCAAGTAATATTCCATTGTGTATATGTACCACATCTTTTTAATCCAGTCTTCTATTTTTTGGCATTTGGGTTGGTTCTGCATCTTCCTTATTGTAAATAGAGTAGCAGTAAACACAGGTGTCCTTTTGTATCCTTTGGGTGTATACCTAGGAGTGGGATTGCTGGGTCATATGGAAGCTCTATTTTCAGCTTTTTGAAAAACCTCCAAACAGCTTTCCATATTGGTTGTATCAGCTTGCATTCCTACCAGCAGTGAAAAAAAAAAATCCCTTGACTTTTAATGAAGAAATGAGATTACTTAATCAAACTGACAAATATTTATAGATATTTCTCAGGGCTCTGACCTTAGTATCTCATCTTAGAAATCATTTAGAAGGTAAGCTTCAGGAGAGCCAGGATTTTTGTCTTTTATTGTTGCTTTTGCAGTATGAAAGACAGTGTCTGACATGTAACTGGTGCTGTGGGAATTCAGTAGTGAAAAGACAAACATGATTCCTACCCTCTTTGACTTTAGGGTAAGGTAGACATTAAGTGCTCCATTATGGTTGTGATAAATGCTTTAAAGTAGTGAGTGCAAATCATTAAGCTGGAAAACTTCCATCTCTAGATACTTTGGGAATCTTCTTTATAGAGCCTCTGAACCCACATTAGCAGTAGAGGAGACATGATTCTGATTTACTCTGAAAAAAACCAGGGATGTTCATATGGATTATCTTCAATTTGCCAAAAGGTTTTGGACTAAAATATAGGTCACAGCAAATGGGAAGGGACTAGAGGCATGTGCAAATAGCAGATCACAAGGCTATGTGCATATGCTTGTCTCATAAACAGACCTATCAGTTCTTAGACTACTTTTTTTCTGAGAGGAAAAACCCCCCTCCCCATGTGTCAGTGAGGATAAGAGGCAATGGTAGCATGGGACCTCAGGCTTTATTAAGCCTTTTAGACTCTCTTGGCACCTCTTCAGGAATTCTAGCTGTAGTAATGCTGTAGTCATGTCAAATTTAAATTAGTGAAGTCCTGGAGCAATGTATGTTTCCCTTGTTGTTACTGGTATAATCTTAGCACATGGGTAGCCAGGATGAATAATTTTATAGACTAAATATGTTGCCTTATGAGTAATGAAGAAATGCACAATTCCTGTGGTTAAATGCTGCATATGGTCTTTAGCTAGCAGTGTGCTTGAGAAGTGATCATATTACATAGTACAGGTGTAAAGAATTCACCAACTCATACTCTAGCCCATTTAGTAACAAATGGTGATAGAATATTAAAAATTTGCTAGAGAGGTGGGTTAAGTATTTTCCAATGTCATTTGAAACAATTACAAATACATTGTGGTTTTTGGAAGAGTCTTAGTTCTTTGAGATATAATTGTGAAATGGTTTTAGTTTTTTAGTTATTATTTTGAGTTCATACTCTTTTCTTTCTGGGGTGTCAGCTCCTTAATAATATCCCAACTAGATCTTCCCCGTTATTCATGTTTTGTTTTGTTCATCTTTTTTTTTTTTTTTTTAAGATTTATTTACTTATTTGTGTATACAGAACTGCGGTACAGGCCAGAGGTGCAGGGTCAGTGAGAGGATTCACCAGAGACAGAGTGGGGAGCAGAACAGGCAGATCAACGAAGTACACTGCTAAGGGGAGCAGCGGAGGGTCAGGAGAGGTCTTCCACGCCATGTGGGTCACCTCCGGGGCAGGTGGGGATCAAACTCATGCGGAAGTGGCTTTCAATTCTTAGTGCTGCACTTTAACCCGCTGCGCCACCAGGGAGGGCCCTGTTGCGTTCCTCTTTTAAAAATGTTTTCCGAGGTCATATGGTGGTAGAATTTCAGTTAAAGCCTTGAGTCTTCTGGTTACCAGTGATATAGGAGGTCACAAATACCCTGGCAGGTTGAATTTTAGAGAAAGCGATCTGTGTTCACTTGTGACAAAGGTATCTAGTATTCATAAGTTTAGACACAACTATGGAATTCAGTTTTATTATTGTAATACTACTTATTAAGAGATTTATATGTGATTAATATTTAATTTAGATACCTTGTACCATATCTATCACTTTCTCCATTTTATAGATGAAGGAACTGAGAAAGTGACATGACTTCTTAGGGTGACATAGCTAATAAGAGGCATAGTCAGACTGGGATCAGGCAGGTTTGACTCCAAAGCACATCATATTCTTGACATTTTTCTGCATGCTTTTTGGTTCTGTGGTAGTACCTGCTTCACACCATTTAGAAGGGAAATTTAACCCAATATTTTTATCCTTAGATTATTAAGTTAAAGAAAAGTATATACAGTGTTATGGATGATATTTTTAATGCCATGTATAAATTGTGTATATACACACATCAGTGCATAAACACCCATAACAGTGGTATGCTAGAAATGAAATACCAGCTTGGGAGAGCCATTTGTGCACATCTTTTCCCAACTTTGTGGTTAGTGACTTTACCTTTGGCACTTCGCAGTCTGCCATGGTGATAGTATTTATGCCATTGAAATCTGCAAACTACCAGTCAGGCTTTTTGCTTGTATTTTCTGGAAAGGTGGTTGTTATGTATTTCTCAGTAGTCTTTGTGTTGTGTGTGTGTGAGTGAGAGAGATTGAGAGAGTGAGCGAGCGCACACACAAGCTCCTTTGAAGGATATATTAAGACTCTGGTAATGAAAGTAGCCCCAAGAAAGGAAAGCTGTCAGACCCAATATTGTTATAATGAGGAAATTAGATAAGAGTACAGAAAATTTTCATGGTTGATGACAGCTAAAATTTTTATGCCTTTAATACTGCTATCAAGCCTTTTTCTCAGTGTCTTGGCAGTATGACTTGCACAGTGAGTTGAAGTGTCAGGTCAGGCAAAATACCCTGCTTTCTGACCTTCACCTCTAGCATTATAAGATGAAGACTAAATGAGAGATCCCATGAGTTTGTAGAAAGTGTAGATTATCATTGACTATATACAAAGTGAAAAGTGCTTTGTTCTGCCACCATATTCTTAAACACTATAATGGAGAGCTAGTAGTCAGTTAAGAAACAACTCTGGGTCTTAGATGTTTTTCTTTCTATAAAGTATTGCAAAGGTAAAATTTTGTTAGACCAGCACTTTTCAGTTCCCCATGAAAAGCAGAGAGTCACTTTGACATAATAGGATGAAATGATGAAAACATACCTTGAATAAACTTATATTAGTGATAGATGAATAGAATTTTCTATTACTCTAGAAAAATTCCTTCAGTTTATAGATTCTACATTTTCAGAATCATGGCATTCTAGTCCCAATCAGATGGAAAGGATCTAACAGTAGACTGTAATTTGTATCAGAGCTGTTACTGTCAGGAAGTTGTTTTATTTTTATGTCCATTCTGGTAATCAAATGTAGATCAGGAATTTGAATCTGCTATTTAGGAGGTATCTTAAAAAAGAAGTATGTAATTAAATACACTTTATTCCAGAAATTTAGTGTACATTTTCAATATACTAAAACTATTTTGTAATTTCTTTCACCAGATGATTTTCAGTGGGAGAATTACTTGAAAGAGACTGGTTCTTTAAGTGCTCCTTCAGAGTGTTTTAGACAGGTATGCCAAAATTTTGTAGATATTGTGTATATTAATGTAAGCTGCTAACTTGAATGGTATCTTTGTAACTGTTAGATTCTGGTAGTATGAGGAAATAGTGGGGTTGTGGTCGTACCACTTGAGCCAGATGGTTTCTTTGCATTCATTCATTAAGAATTTACTCTATGTCAGGTATATTAAGCCTTTATGACTGTGCATCTGGAATGAAAGACATGTAAATAATTAATTATGAGAAGTGTGATAACTATTGGGAAGGCTTAAAGAGGTGTTATTTGAGAGGGTTGGAATGAGGGGGAGGATATTTTAGAGGGAACATATGAGGCTAAAGCACACGGGTAAAAAAATAACACAACAAAGGATGATATGGGGTAGCTGGAACACAGTGGGTAGAGGTGATAGAGAATGATGTTAAAGGTGTGGGGGCTTTTAAACTGTACTGAGAACCTATACTCTATCTATGCGGTGGTAAGCTCCAGTAGGTTTATTTCAAGGGAAACGGTCTAATCATAGTTTGATTCTACAAAGCCACTCAGGATACATTTTAGTGGCTGTTTTGGGGTTCCAAGTGGGCAGACAAGTAAGACCAGCAGTAGGCAATGGTTTTATACTGAATATCAAGCCAAGGAGAGGGTTTGGAGATCTTTTTCTTGACCCTTACAGCTCACCATCAGCTGTCGCTATTACTAAAAAGATTCCTCAGGCATTCTGGCTAACATAACAGACCATTCGCTTTCTTTGCAGTAATGCACTTTAACAACATTTTATTTGTGTATATGTGTATAGTCTCAGATTCCACCAGCCAATGACTTCAAAGTTGGTATGAAATTGGAAGCCCATGATCCTCGAAATACTACTTCGATATGTATTGCTACAGTCATCGGCACTACAGGTGCCAGGCTTCGTTTAAGATTGGATGGCAGTGATAATAGAAATGATTTTTGGAGACTTGTTGATTCTCCTGACATACAGCCTGTTGGGACGTGTGAAAAGGAGGGGGATTTACTTCAGCCTCCACTGGGTAAGGATAAGCACTCTTTAAAATGATGTGTTCTTACTAATAACAATTTTCATAGTTTAAAGTGACCTTTAAAAAAATCTGTTCTCCTAGGCATTCTTGCAAATAGATGGTCAGGTGGTTATTATGGAGAATGTATGAGAGAGGAACTTAGTATTGCTTGTTGTAGTTTCACTAAAGTACACATTAAGCATCCATGTGCTGAGGCTTTCCCACTCCAGGGAAAGACTCATGCTTTTTCAAACTTGAAAAGTCAAAAGCAGCTTTACTGGATTATACATACAGATTCAGAAACCCTTCTGGGGGAGAAGTTTGTATTATTTCATATGAATTGCTTTCTTCCTCAATATTACCCAGTGAGCCATTGAACATTTTGGCTAAAGTGCTAGAGCAGGGGGGGAGGTTATGATTCCACATCTAGACTCCAGTTTCAAATTTGGGAATTTCATTATAACTGTAGTGGGAAGAAATCACAGTGAGAGGGGTAAGTTTCAGGATCTTTAGGTGTTTGAAAAGGGGGAAATGGATGGAACTTTTTCTAGCAAAGGTTATAGATATAGAGGTCTTAATTTTGACCAAGTTTTTAAAAAATGTGCATGATTTTTAATTTGGTGCAAAAGTTTTCTGTTTTAATACTTAGGGGTATGAGGATATTTTGTAGAAAAATAAGCAATTTATCACTTCCACATTCTGAATGAAAGGTGGGTTCTCCCCCCCCTCCTTACTTACAATACCAAAAATGACAGTTCTCTGTTATAAAGCACAGTGAGAGTGGAATGTGCTTTTGTCTTTTACAAGTGAAAGTTCCCTGAGAACCAAATATTTAAAGCATGAATAATATTTACTCTTTAAGCAACATGTGTTTATACAGTCCTAGCTCTGTTAATTATTCCTAATTTGTTTTTAAAAATTAGAGATATTTTATTTCAAAAGATAGTTTAGGATATATGCCTTTGCTGCCTTTTCCCTTTTCATATCTCTTCATATCGTTCTTTTTTTGCTTATTTTTATAACATTCCTTTAAGTCATACAGAATTCTTTTAGAGATATAAATGTAAACCCAAGGCTTAGCTCTTTCCTGTTTACAGTGTGGTGATGTTTTTGTATTTTGTTCAAAGGACATGCAGTTGTTGAGATTGTCAACAATTCAAACACATAGACAGGGTTATGATCACTCTTTCAGTTTACTTTTAGAGTTTATTAATTAAAAATATAAAATATTTCATTTAGAGTTTATTAATTAAAAATATAAAATATTTCATAATACATGCTAATATGTATGTATTTGGGTACTACATAAAAACATAACTTTTGCTAATTTTCTCTAGGTGCTTTTGCACCTATACCTGGAGTTTAATTTCCATTTTAGTATAGCATAATTTATTTAGTTTTCCTTATTAAAGGCTGTTCAAAAGTTTTAAAAGTTTTAACATATAAATAGAAGTGTACAAATCATAAATACACCATTTAAAAACACACCTATTACAACTGTCATCCAAATCAAGAAATAGAACATCATTAGCACTCCTGCTGATCCCTACTCATAACTTCCCTTTTCCCCCAGGTAACAGCTGTCCAGAATTTCTAACATATAGACTAATTTTATCTGTTTTTGAATTTTTTATATGCACTTTGTTCTGTTGTGGGACTTTTAATCATATTTGACTTAAGATACAATTAATTATATTAAGAAAAATCATGGTATAGGATATCATAGGTTAAGATGGGGATAAAGAATAAGGGCATATGGACCAGAGAATGATTCTTATGCAATAATCTAATCACAGTGTGGAAAGTCCATGTTGTGGTTAGCTATTAGATATTATTAATAATAACTGATTTATTATAAAGGAGTATGTAGCAGTCTTCCCCCCTTCTTTCCTAGCAATAATTGTTTCCCTAGTTAGATTAAGGATTCATACAGGATTATTATAGGATTATTACAAAATGACTTTCTACCTGAACTTTTTTGTTTTATCCTATTGGTGTCAGTGATTCATGTCCTCTAGTGCATGTATCATAGGGATGCATGCCATATCCATTTTTGGTATCAAGTCAAGCAGATGTTGCATGAAATAGATCCTCAAGAAAGCAGTAAAAGTAGCAGACCTCTGCTCCTTGCCTCATGTGCCAAATGTTGTGGTATTCCCACTACCTGATAGATCTCTAGAGAAAAGCACCTATGGAGTCTGTTTCGATAGCATCTGATACACATTCTAAAAGAAAACCCTGTTTAATGTGTGTACACACTGCTAAAATGAGGTGTTTTTTTCTAACATTTTATGAAAAATTTCAAACATACAGAAAAGGTAAAAGAATTTTACCTTAAACACCCACAGGTCCACTACCTAGATTTGAGCACTATCATTTTACTATTATTATCACTTGTCCATCTGTCCTATCAGTCCATCTTATTTGTATTTCAGAGTATATTATTGATATTATAACATTGTCCTTAAATACCTCAGGCAGGCATGAAATATCTTAGGTATTATCCTTAAATACCTTAGCATGCATATCACTAACTATGTTCATAGTTTTTTTTTCTTTTATGATAAAATACAGTGAAATGTACCACTGTATGTGTACATTTACTGAGTGACAGAAAACTGTCTTTTTGAAAGGAAATAAGTCAGGGACTCAGGGAAAAGTGGGACTGAAAATTATTTACAACCTTTGGGAATGGAATGGAAGCTCTCATGCATTCTATCTTGGATATCACCCCTAGTATTATGGCCCATTCCCAACATACATGTGCATGTTGGTGAATCCTTGCTAATGGCTTCTCTCAAATGAGTTTTACCCCCACTTTAGTACAGTGAGATATATTTGGATTGATTGGAAGGTGCAACTTTTTTTCCTGCTTGTTTCCTCACTTCTTTGATAGGAAAGTAATTCTCTGAAATTGGTGAATAAACCTGTTTCCTATACCAGTTTGCTTTAATATCAGAGAGGCTTTTTCACAATAGCTGATTTATTTTATAACATAGGGTACCAGATGAATGTGTCATCTTGGCCGATGTTCCTTTTACGAACATTGAATGGATCGGAAATGGCACCTGCAACATTCTTTAAGAAGGTAAGAGAGATGTTATAATTTTTTTTTAGTCACTTGGGCTGCGGCTTTATTGTTTTAATAAGTGTGCTTAAATACTTTGTCTTCTCTGACATGAGAAAGCAAAGCTGATTTTTAAATTATTGGTTTGGCAAATGTATTAGTATCCTAGGGCTGCCATAACAATGTACCACATAACAAAGTACCACAAATTGGGTGGTTTTAACAAAAGAAATATATTTTTCCATATTTCTGGAAGCTAGAAGTCCAAGATCAAAGTACCATGAAGGTTGGTTTTTGGAATGGCCTTTTTTCTCAGGTGATGGCTGCCTTTTTGCTGTATCCTCACATGGCCTCTTCTCTCTGTATGTGCAAAAGATGAAGGATCTCTGATTTGTCTTCCTCCTCTTCTAAGGACACCAGTCCTATGAATAGGAGGGCCCGTCATCATACTTTTAGGCCATATTTAAGGCCATATTTCTAAAATAATCACATTGTGGGTTAGGGCATTAGTTTATGAATTTGGGGGTATACACAATTCACTGTGACTTCAACAGCAGAAATTAATTTTCTCACAATTTTGGAGGCTAAAAGATTGAGATCAAGATATCAGCAGACTTAGGTATTTTTTAGGGTTTTTGTTTTTTGAGTCCTTTCTCTTTGGCTTAGAGATACCTATCTTCTGTGTCTTTAACTGACCTGTCTGTGTCCTAATTTTTCTTAGAAGGACATTGGTGATATTAGACTAGAGCCTTTCCTAATGACCTTATTTTAAGCAAATTGCCTGTTTAAGGATCCTATCTCCAAATAGAATCACATTCTAAGGTACTGGGGGTTAAGACTTCAACATGAGTTTTTGGGGGGACACAGTTCAGTTCATAACAGCAATTCATAAAAAGGTTCATTTGTAATCACCCACTAGTCAAGATAAATTATTAACTTCTTTTTTTCACCTTAGATATGAAAGGGATGCTCTGTGGGAAACAAATGTTTGTGCTATTCTTTATTTACCTTCAGAAGTACAGCTCTTCTTTGTTTTGTTATATTAGTCATCTCTTTAGTATTAGAGAAAATTATGATGGGCTGAAAGTCACTTGAAAGTTATTTGGAGAGATTTGATTTCAGAAGTAGAAGAATGTTAAAAACTCATCAGAAAGCGGGCCTCCCAGGTGGTGCAACGGTTAAAGCACAGCACTAAGGACTATGAAGCTATCCTCAGCCACTGCAGCATGAGTTCAATCCCCAGCCAGGGAGGTGACCCACAACACACAGCAGTCCTGTTGCCCCCCTCAGCACTGTATTTTAGTCATTCTGTTTGTTCTGCTCCCTACTCTCCCTACTCTGTCTCTGGGTGAATCCTTTCACGTCCCACACCTCTGGCCCCAGCTCTTCTATACATAACTGAATAAATCTTTAAAAGAAGATCACCAGAAAGAATTTGTTTTAAGAAGATACTTGTTATATTAACATAGAGAGAAAATTCCAACAATAGTTCATGCTCTTAAGAAAATGTTGAAAAGGGTACACTATGTTAATGAAACATGACTAAAAGTCAGAGCCAAATTTTGGTTAAATTATGGCCTTGGGTAAATAATTCTAACCCTCTGTCCTGATTGTTTTCTTCGTCACTTAAACTTTTTTTTTCAAGATTTATTTATTATGCTTACAGAACTCGGGTACAGGCCAGAGGTGTGGTAGGTGAGAGGATTCCCCAGAGACAGTGGGAAGCAGACCAGGCAGATCTACTGAAATACACTGCTGAGGGGCGCAGCAGGTGGGCTGGGAGATGTCTGTTGCACCATGTGGGTCAGCTCCCTGGCTGAGTATTGAATTCGTGCTGCAGTGGCTTCTGAGAGCTTCATAGTGGGATGCTTTAACCCATTGCACCACCAATGAGAGCCCATCACTGAAATTTTAGTTCAGCTATTTATATTAGGAGTGGTAAACATTGATTATAGTTACTGAAAACATTTGAAGAAGCTTAACGAGAAAAGGATGTGAGGCATCAATTAAATTGACTCCTGCATTGGAAAAAAATTTCTTATGAGTCTGTGAGCAGCATGAAGGCTGAAAATGAACCCAACCTACCAGCAAAAGGACGTAGGTAGATGCATGCCCTTTGGCCAATGTTAAAGATATGTGAGAATAGCTAATAGCAAAAGAGATGTTTAGTAGTAGTCTTTATTAAATCTATTAACTTGGTCTGTGGCTTTAGAAAAGCTTTATCAGCTAGCTGCACATCACAAGTTACACATACTGTGTTTTCATTTTTTAAATTATAGAAGTAATTGTTGGGTGGTGGTGGGGATGGGTGGGTATCAAACCACTTAACTAGGATGATAGAATAAGTTTCCCATTACCTTGTTAATTACTCTATTCCAATCTCTTGAAAAGGAAGTTTTATGTTCTTCCAGACCTTTTTCTGTGTGTTCAAATATGTGTGTGTGTGTGTGTGTGTGTGTGTGTGTGTCTATGGGTATTTCCCATTTATTTATTTATAAACAAAACCCTTGACAACCATTTGTCAGAAAAGTAACCCTTTGTCAAAAAATATTTGTAACATGCAAATATTTCCCCTCATTTTGCAGGTTGCCTTTTTGTTTTTATGATGGTTTATTTTGAGGTACAAAAGTATTTTTTATCCTATTTATTTATTTATGTCATAATTTCTTTCTTTTTTGTTTTTAATGTGGGCTTATGAACTTGCCACATATAATGCTGCTTTTACAGAATCCCTTAAGGTCTGTTTTCCATTTTCATTAGTCTCAAGATACTTTTGATCTCTGTTTGATTTTTTTCTTTGAGGAGTTGTTCAGAAGCATTTTGTTGAGTCTCTACATGTTTTGGTATATTCCACGTTTCTTTCTGTGGTTAATTTCTACCTTTTTATCTTTGAAGATGCTTGATATAATTTCTATTTTTGTGTATTCTCTGAGACATGTTTTATGTCCCAGCATATGATCTATTCTTGAGAATGTTCCATGTGTACTTGAGAAGAAAGTACATTCATTTTTTGTGGGATGGAAAGTTCTATAAATATCCAGTAAATCCATCTGGTGGAGCACTTCATTTAAGGCCTTTAATTCTATCTGGACGATCTGTTCCTTGGTGTCAGTGATGTGCTGAGGTCTCTGTCAACAATTCTATTTTTGCCGGTAAAATTTTTACATCTGTTAATAGTTGCATTGCATATATAATTGCTCCTGTGTTAGGTGCATAGATATCACTAACAATTATATCTCTTTGCTTTACTGTTCCCTTGATCATTATGTAGTGTCCATCTTTGTCCCAGCTTACCATTCTTAGTTGAAAGCCACGTATATCTGATAAGGGAATAGCAGTTTCTGCTTTTCTCTGAATATTATGTACAATTTTGCTTCAATCTTTCACTTTTAGTTTTTGTCTTTTGATTTTAAATGGATCTCCTGTAAATAAAAGTATAGATGGCTGAACCTTTTTTGCCCACATTGTCAATCTTTTAATTGGTGAATTCATTCCATTCATACTTAGGGTGATTATTGTTATAAACTGTTTGCTATCAGTCATTTTGGTTTTGACTTTTTAAGTTTTTGTTACTGTTTTCATTTGCTTATGCTGTTCCTGGATGGCTTTACCTAGTGCTTCTGTCAATGTTTTTTGTTTTTTCCTCTGTGGTTCTTTCGATTTGTGATTAGTGGTTACCATAGGGGTTTTGCTTAAACTATTGTCTTAAGTCGTTCATGTGCTGGTGTCCACTCTCCAGCATTTAATTGTACAAATTCTATTTCTTCCTCCCCTTTAGTGTTTTGTTGTTGATGAATACTGTTTTTGCTGATGCTTCTGGATTTGTATTCCTGTTTTCATTTTGCTCAAATTTTGTGATTCATTTTTCTTAAAGGACCCCTTTCAACGTTTCTTGTAGAGCAGGTCTGGTGATGATAAGCTCTGTTAACTTCTCTTTTTCTGGGAAAGCCTGTATTTCCCCTTCATATTTGAATGATATTTTGCAGGATATACTATTCTTGGCTGGCAGTTCTAGTCTTTCAGATTGTGAACACTTACTTCCAGTCCTTGCTTACCTGGAGCCTATCTGGGGTGAAATCAAAGGAAAGTCTGATTTGGGTGCCTTTGTAAGTTATTTTCTTCTTTCTTGTTTCCTGTAATATTTTTCTTTTATCTTTGATTTTGGATAATTTAACAATGATATGTCTTTTGTAGGTCTTTTTTTATTTAAAAATGTGGGTGTTCTCTCTGTTTCCTAAATATTCATTTAAAATTTGTTCCTTAGGTTTGGGAAATTCTCGGTTATTACTTCTTTGAATAGGGTTTCTGCTTCCTTTTTACTCTTTTATCACATTACTAAATTTCCTCTTTAATCAAGTGTGATAGTTCTTGTAGAGTTTCCTCATTTTCCCCCTTGTCATTTTTCTGATTGGGTGGTTCATTTGAGTCTTCTATTTTTGAAATTCTACCATTTTAATTCTATTAAAGCAGTTTCCAAATTTGTCTGCATTTCATTCAGTCTTTTTGTGATCTTTTAATATTTTTAATCTCTTTGGTGAAGAACTCCTTTTGTTCTTAGGTCTCCTTTCTAAGATTTTGCACCTCTTTAACTTTGATTGACCTTCCAGAATTTCATTGAACAGTTTTGATATTGTTTTGAAGTTTTTGTCTGGCAGGGTCTCTATTTCTGTATCCTTTATATTTGTCCCAGAATTTATGCTTTTTTTTTTGTTTGTTTTTGCTTTTCCATTTTGTGTTCTGTTGTTCCTTGCTTCCTAGGGATGTGTATTCCCTTGCTCACCTTTTTGGGGAGTGGTGGGCTTGGGGCTCTGAGAATTTAGTTTTGCTTGTTTCTCTTCTTTTTTACCTTGATACAAGGTGGTAGCAGGAAGGGAAACTGGGGCTTAAGAACTCAATCTTAGTTTGATCCACAGCAGACTTTATCTCCACAGCAAACTGTATTCATTGTTTCAGTTGTTTTAATTTACCACCTGGCCTCTCTGCTGTTCTTTCTGATGTAGGTCTTAAGCTACATCTGATCT